TGGAGATACTATCCGAATATGACTTCGAGATTATCTTTCGTCCAGGGTCTGAGAACATAGCAGCTGATGTGATGAGCCGACGTCCGCCGGTGACCCAGGATGCTGCGACTCAAACTGTACCAGAGAGTGCCCCCCCCCCCAGTCATGAGAGTGTCTCCTGGCTCGTGGTCAAATGGCTTTCTTCGCCACGAGCAGGACCAGGACCTTGCGATAGCTGACATTGCGAGACACATGTCCACAGGAAAGAGGCCGAGATCAACGAACGTGACCCCCAGCGCTGTGACGCTGCTGAGACAGTGGCACCGCCTGAAGCTGCTGGATGGTGTGCTGTTCCGTGTGTATCGTGCCCGTGCAGGTGGAGAGGAGCAGTTGCAGCTGGTCGTACCGCAGCAACTTGTTCCCGGTGTGCTGACATCTCTGCACGCAGGTCCAGCTGGAGGCCACTACAGTGCTGAGGCCCTTGTCGCGACTGCCAGACGCGAGTTCTGGTGGCCCAATATGGACGAATCCGTGAAGGATTTCTGCAGCCGATGCGAGCGCTGCAACACGAGAGCTGCCCCAGTGCCCCGACCGAGAGCGTCGATGGGTGAGCTTTACGCTGAGGAGCCTCTGGAGACAATTTCAATCGATTTCCTTTCAGGTTTGCCGACTACTTCACAGGGCAATCGACATTTGCTTGTGGTTGTTGACCATTTCACCAGGTGGTGTGAGGCTTACCCAGTGCCAGACATGAAGGCAGTAACAGTAGCAGACGTACTGGTGAATCAGTTTATTTCTCGTTTTGGCTGCCCGAGACGAATTCATTCTGATAACGCTGCCAATTTTACAGGAGCTCTCATCGAAGAGGTTTGTCGCCTGCTAGGCGTTGAGAAAACCAAGATTTCCCCCTATCATCCGGAGGGTAACGCCAAGTGTGAGCGCATGATGCGTACCATTTTGGGAATGCTTTCAAAGCATCTGGACGGTAACCATGATGACTGGGATGTCCATCTGCCGCTATTGATGTTGGGCTACCGTGCAAAGGTGCATTCGTCGCTTGGTTACTCGCCGTATTTCATGCTCTTCGGCAGGAACCCAACGATGCCTGCCACTCTTCAGTTTCAGGTGCCTTCAACGAAGGCCAAAACAGCCACTGTGTCAGAGTACCTGGAGAAGCTCACGCAACGGTTGAAACTGACCCACGATATCGCTATCCAGTCTTCCAACAGCAGACATCAGCGCAACAAGAGGCTTTACGAGAAGAAGCTGACACAGCATCAGTTCGAGGTTGGTGACCCTGTTTATTTGTTCAAAGCTGTAGTACCACGCGGTGAATACTACAAGTTCGTCAGGCCGTGGAAGGCAGCTATTGTGACTGCGAAGCTGTCGGATTTGAATTACAGAGTTCGTTTGCTGGGTGGCAGAAAATCGGTTATTGTACATCATAACAGGTTGAAGCCCAGACCCGACGGCTCAGTGGTTCCAGTCCCAGATAGTGACCTTACCTTTTCAGAGACTGCTAACCCGAACGCGGCGGCCGGAGAGGCGATTGATTCCAGAGATGCCCTACAGCCGGATGGGAGTACTGCAGGCTCTCCGCTGGCCGCCGGGCCAGCTGGTCCGTCTCACCCACAGACTGTGTGGCCCACAGGAGATGATTATGTCCCACCGGCTCCTCTCGGCATTTTCGACGCTGATGAGCCTGCTGGCGTGACGGACGTCACTGATGACTTGTCGACAGGCATTGCAGTTGCAGGTGATGACTCCACTGTGGCAGTTCCTTCCGATGTCGCTGCTGGGTTGGCGATCGGTGTCGCAGACGTCACCGAGGCCGTAGAGCCGGTGGCCGCCAGCAACGCTGGTTCAGCGCCGGTGCCAGCGCCACGCCACAGTTCCCGGATTCCCAAGCCTGTCGATCGTTTTGTTCCCGGGTGATGTGCTAGATTAAGAGATTGTTGATTGTGAGATATGTCATTGTGCTGTGTTGTGACTGAGTTGTAAGTTGGTCTGTGAAATCGTAGTTGGTGTGCTGTAAGGCTTATTGGGACTGTGCAGAAACAGAAGGAAGTTGTCGAGTTTGGTATTGGTGTAGCACCCATGTGTTGTCCGAGTGGCCACGACGACATCGCTTGGTTCCCTGTGAACGGGGATAATGCAAAGCACCATTGACTTGCCGATTTGCGACTTCTGAGAACGCACTTATCCTTCTTCCGTCAGCTAGCCACCACTGCCCTATCCTCTGAGGCCGGTTAGAAGAGATAATTTGATAAAGAGCACCTGCACCAGGCAAACCTCTGTTTCTGTTGTCGTAGGGTATCGACACGCTTTGTGGTGGGTACTGTGTTCACCGTTGTGTTCTTTTGCGCCCGAACTAGTGCCCGCCGTTACGAGTTACCTGTAGTGATGTTCCGGATATCACGGTGCTCCGGCTACTGTTCAGCTGTGGCTCCGCGGGCCATGGCCTGGCCTGCGGATTGTGTGGCCGCCAGCAAGGACCGACGCGGCTCGCCATGCCGTCACCGCTTTTCGCCTGGGACTGGCGTTCCGGGCGCGCCTGCCGCCGTCTGATCTGCACGCCCAGGACAGGCGCCGCGGTGAGACTGACATCGGATGGCTGCCCCGGTGCACTGGACAGTGAAGTGCGGGAGTACCAGTGTATGTGGTGTTTTATGCGTGGGACCAGGGACATGCGCTTCCGCTATGTGCTGTGTTGATTAGGTGAGCGCTCGCTTTCGTGGATTGTTTCGTGTACCAGTGTGTCGTTTTTTATGGTGCGTCGGATATAGACGGCTGAGTTTCGCCGCCCGCATCCGTCCGCGGGAGGAGGCCGTCGGCCGTCTCCTAGCAACTGTTGCTAGGGCAACGCCACCCCGCTTCCCGCTTGGGCAGCGACAGCTGACGAGAGACGAGAGGAGAGAGTCGGCAGAGCAGGGGCCGGCAGGGCTTGTGCCTGTTTTGGGTTATGCTTTATATGATATAGCGAACATGTGATTTAAATATCGGCTTTGCTGTAAGAGACCAAACCCCAAAGGCTACATATGAATAATTAGAACTTCATATTCAAAGTTTTATAGAAATAAAATTTCACATTACATTATCATAAGGCTACCTGTCCATTTCATCCAACCAATTAAATATTTATCCAGCAGAAGGGAGGTACCTCTGAGAAGGTACTGATATCTCTTATCTACACCAATATTTCAGAAAAATGACAGAGACTGAGAAGCTATGAAAACTTCAGCGTATGAAAGGGATGTTATGACTTATGTACATTGAAAAACATCATATAATGCTTTTGAACCATCTCATTCACCAGCACACATCAATCCGGCTCCTGGCTTCTGTTAAGGAAACATTTCAAAATAATGCATTATTTTATTTCATTGACCACCTTGCAAAAGACAAACAGCAAACACATCACCACCAAAAACAAAAAAAGTCAACAGGTAGGTACCAGCTGATCTAGCCGTGCTGTGTCATGTGCCTTCGAAAAACTTTAGCTATCAGGGTTGAATAAACACCCCAAAGTTAGCCATTCATGCATGAACAAGTGCAAAATCTGGTCGAGCATTTTAATAAAAATGAAACAAACAGCATTGTAGGTTACAATTATAAAAAAGACTTACAAAAAACAAAAATAACAGCAGAGCTTACTCTACAAGGCATAACCATTAATTTTATAACTGACATCCAAATTCGCATCTCCGAAGTTTAACCCACCTACCAGCTACCTGCATATTTCTGCGCACATGTGCTGCGCAGTGTGCACAGTCACTACACATTACACAATTATGAGAATTAAAATAGTTTTGAGCAATCAAACAAGTCAGGACTGGTATGCAGATTCACAAGTTCTCTCAACATCTTCAACTACCAACAATCAAGAGCACCTTGTGATCTCAGTAACTCCGCAGATCCATCTTCTGTTTTCCATTTTCAGTTTTCAATTGAAATATAAGTTCCATCTGGGAGACACATGTTGCATCATTATGTTTAAACAATTATTATGCTTGAACTTTTGGTTTTTCATGTGAACTTCACTTCAAAAGTTGATTCAATTTTTAAAGTTGATATAACTTGTATAATGCTACGATCACGGCGCACCAAATCACAGATAACTTGAAAATAACCAAGCAAAAGCCACATTCTTCAGCAAACTATGAGACCTATCTGATCCATGCTGCGTTGAAATAATTAACAATCGCCAAAATCATTCAAAATATGACAATTAAATAAACTTCATAAAACTTTTATTTGTGAGGCAATGCGCAACAGAAATGCGAGGGAATATGGTAGTAATCTGGTAGCAATTATGAAGGATTTCCCCTGTAGCTGATAAAAATCACAAGAAACAATTTTTTTAACGCAGAGGAAATCCTTCATTATGAGTTGTAAGGACCATTTGATTGGCCCATTTTGGTCAAATATAGGCCGATTGTTTCGATTTCAACCCCATTTATCGTAATGAGACGAATCCATTGGCTTAGTGGTACGTCTTTTGAACACATATAGGCCTTGGATTTCTCCTTAGCCTGCCTGAAACACACCATGATAAGCATGCATTGCTATGGGTGAAGGAAAATTTATGCGCCGTGATGACGTCACGGTAAAGGAATTCTGGAGCTCGTGAACGGGGGCTGGGGAAGATTGGCTGGAGACAAAAAACTCGCTACAAGCAAATGGTTAAAGGCTTAGTACTCATCCCTAGCCCGGTTCCACTTTTTCTGCCCTTCATTCATGACATTGCTGTGTACATTGTACAACCAGTGAGCGATCTACATAGTCGTAAAAGAAATTTGTGGTGTGAATTATGTAAGGAGTGGTGTACCGCGGACCGCCTCAATCGGAAAAGCAGGGGGGGTTCATCGCCATAGGGACACACGTACAAAGAAATTGCTACCAAATGCTGCCAATGTGACGTCACTGGGATGCTCGAAAGCTGATTGGTCGCTGAGATTCGAGTAATGTAGTCAATTCTGGCGCACCGGCGCAGTGTTTTCCGACCGTTGCGTATTATTACTTTGGTTGTTATGCAAAGTTTCAATATGTTTGTTTGATAATATAAACACGTTTTCATGTGTTTGAAGGTCGCAAAAGCTTAACATAAGTGGCAACCACACTTTGTATTACGTTTCGTCTCATATATCATGAAGAACAACCAAGTATTTCAGGCTGGGATCATGCTGAGCAACCTCAACCAAGGTATTCATTTTGCAATGGATATTAACATAATCTGGCGTTTTTTAAGTTTCCATTTTTGCTATTAAGCTGGTAATATTTTTTCAGTGCTCACAGTGCGCATAAGTACCTTGACCTAACATGATACACTCAACAAATAAAATGGTTACAGCAAACACGCAATGTAAACAAACTAGTGCTACAGCCTACAAGTACAGTGGCAAATTGAAATAAATATATATATATACTGCTTATATAAATATAAGCTCTTTACTTTTTAGCATCATAATTTAAATTGTACATAATATGGTCACATACTGCGGGATGGGTTCATCTCAATCTCTTCGCAATGTTATCAGAGCTTGAGCTGTAAAAATGAAAACAATGTTTTTGCATGGTACCTATTATTGTTTATTTTCAAATTGGTCATTGAAGTTATTTCATGGGTAGGTGCTTAATCTTTTTCAATATTTATTTATTAGTTGCTTTTACTGTCAGCATGATGTTAGCCAAATTTGTTTGTGCTGATTATTGTTTATTTTCAAATTGGTCACTGAAGTTATTTCATGGGTAGGTGCTTAATCTTTTTCAATATTTATTTATTAGTTGCTTTTACTGTCAGCATGATGTTAGCCAAATTTGTTTGTGCTGAGAGTTTTCTGTTTGCAGGAAAACTGAGGCGAGGGCGAGTAGGTCCCTGAGGAGGACCACTGCAAAGGAGGTCAAGGAGATTCTGGGAGCAACCTGCGAGCAACCTCTAGACCAGCCAGCAGGCACCTCTGACAAGTAAGGCTAATGGTTTATGTGTTCACTCACATTAAAAGTGTTCACAAATATCCATCAGTGTTAAAAATCCTGGCCCGTCTTGGGCGCCACCATCATTTTTATTGGGTGGCTATCAAAGCATACAAAAGCGCAGCGTACAATCCTCAAAACATACAAAATCGCAACATACAACGCGCAAAACCTACAAAACAGGCCAGGTAGGGGACAGCCCAAACGTACAAAAGCGCAGCGTACAAAATCCCAACGTACAAAAGTTTACCGTCCAATGGGTAAAGCGTACAATGGCAAATCAAACAATGATCAGAACGTACAAAATTGGAACGTACAATGGCAGATCAAACAAACGCGTATCATACAAAATTGCAACCTACAAAACGAGATGATCGTATCATACAAAATTGCATCGTCTAAAATCGGAAGGTACAAAATGCCTCTGGTTGACGCCGGGTGAATTGATATTTAACAAGTAAGCCACCAGATGGGGTAATGGTGCTGTGGCAGTGGTTTTTTGGAAGCCACCAGGAAATAGAGTGGAATGCCACTAAGTCCCTTAGAAACACGATACCTCTGGACGCTGCACCGGCCGGCTATCGACGCTGCGGGCGGTCGGAGGGTGCCGAGGGGAATGGTTCCGAGCAGGCAGGAACACGATACCTCTGAACGCTGCACCGGCCGACTATCGACGCTGCGGGTGCCGCGTGGACCGGTGCCGAGCAGGCGAAGAGGAGAAGCGGGCATCAAGACCGTGAGAAATCTATTGTATTGGAGGGTGTGCATATGTAGGTAAATGAGGAAAACGTGCATAGGTATGTAACACCTTCATCCTTGATCACATACCCTTTCCCACGCACTGCGGGGGGGGGACTGTTTAAACAACCCCTCCGGTTTCTCGCGAATATCTAAAAAACGACGGCTCAGAGTGCCGCCGTGTTTTGCACATCTTATCATACATCTTTTCTACACCTTCTGTGAAAACTTCAGACCAAAGTCATCCAAGGTCAGGTTACCATATCACGTCGTCGTCAAGTGACCTTACTACATGAAAAGTTTCAATGCCTGTCACAGCTACACCGAGTGACTGATCACTTTGAAACTTTGAGCAACTGATAAAACAACAGTATACACAATACACATAATGTATACAATAATTATAATAATGATACACAAAATGTATCTCTCGGAACTTCGATATCGGTGACCTAAGGTCAGTTCAATTTTGCAACCTCTCCATTATAAGTCAATGGGAGAAAATTGAAAGGCGCTTCTTTTGGCCGAACTTTCAAACATCGAATTACAAGTAGACATGACAAACTGAACCGGAAAATGGTACACGTGGCCCCTTTTTATGTCCCTGAGGTCATCTCAGGTCACGAATGGTATCCTACAGTTTTTCGCAAATAACTTTTTACAGAGACATGCTAGAGCGATGAAAAACCTTATATGTATGTGTTTGGCTCGACAATACGGATCGACTGATGCAGCATGACCTTTTCTGGTCAGGTCATGACATTGACCTGAGGTCATGACCTTGTCATGAGGTCATGACCTTGACCTAAAGTAAATTTTTCCAGTTGAACTTTTGAGGTCAACTTATAGTTCTTTCGATGCGTCGCCTTGACGAGAGGAACACGATGCTGCTGAAAGTAAGCTCGTGCATGTTTTGAGTCAAAAGGTATTGCAGAAAAACAGTTCCCGCAAAAACCATCTTCCTATTCTGGCAGTTTTTGGCCCCTGCACGTTAAACCGTTCCTAATCTATGCGCCGGTTTGTCGAAATTATCGAAGTTTGACCTGGAAAGTGGCGAAATCTTACCTTTGGTGACCTCTGTTGACCTGACCTTTGAGCTGACCTAAAATGTGGCCGATATAATTTCTTCATTACTTCTGCCGCTCTTTCGAACGCCGTCTACGGCGTGTCGCTACGTGGCCCAGGAGCCGAGTGAGAAGGGGGGTGTTCAACCCCCCCCCCCCCAGTGCAGGTGGCGCCGAGCACCGGCCCGGCGCCGGTTAGTCAATCGCATGGCGTTTAACATAACGGTACATCATCGGTGTTTAACCCGCGCCCTGCTGGGGGGGGGGGGGTTTGAACACACACACACACCCTGTGTTTTTCAAAAATATCTCAAAAACGGCAGCGCGGAGCGCCGCCGTTTTTGGCACACCTTATAATACATTTTGTACATACTATTGCTCTTAGCAATCGTTGAAACTTTCGAAGCGATCGGTCACTTGGCTATGGCGGACATTGAAACTTTGCATGAGGTGAGGTCACTTCAAGTGACCTGGTGACCTGACCTTAAATGACCTTGGTCTGAAATTTTTAAAACATGTGTAGAATTGATGTATTATAAGGTGTGCCAAAAACGGCGGCGCTCCGCGCTGTAAACTATACTGAGATAAACTCTGCTTATCTCAGAGTTTTGATATCGATGACCAAAGGTCAGGTCAATTTTGCGACCTCCCCATTATAAGTCAATGGGAGAAAATTGAAAGGCGCCTCTTTTGGACCAAAGCCATTATAAACACTCCCAAACACTGAATTACAAGAAACTAAGACACATTGAACATGAAAATAGTATCCGAGACCCCTGTTTAGTGTTTATGCCCCTGAGGTCATCTCAGGTCACGAATAGTATCAACAGTTTTTCGCGAATACCTTTTGATAGAGGCATGCTAGAGCGATGAAAACGCCTTGGATGTGTTCAGCTCGACGATACGGATCGACTGATATGCAACATGACCCTTTCCGGTCAGGTCATGTTGGTAAAAGTAAGCTCGTGCAAGGCTTGAGTCAAAAGTTATTGCAGAAACACTTTCCGAAAAATCGGTTATTTTGGCAGTTTTTGCCCCCTGCAGGCGAAATCGTTGGCGCTAGGTCAAATCTGAGAGAATTATTCAGAAAGGGCGTTAATAGGGCTATCGAAGTCGCTTTTCCGCGGCGCTGTAGCTATATCGGTTCCCGAGTTATGCGTTGGCTGCTTGGAAACTGTCGACATTTGATCTGAAAATCGGCGAAATTTTGCCTTTGACCACCGGTGACCTGACCTTTAGCCTAACCAAAAAAGTGACCGAAGTGATTACGTTATTATTTTTGGCGCTCTTTCGAACGCCGCCTTCCGCGAATCGCTACGTGGCCCAGAAGTCGAGTTAGAAGTGGGTGTTCAAACACCCCCCCCCCCCCCCAGCAGGGCGTGGAAATCCAGGACCCCCAGCGGGGCGCGGGTTAAAACACATTAGGAAAATATAAATATCTTCAATACAATGTGCGCTAACCAGTTTTCTCAGTAATTCAGCTAGCAAATATCGTGCTGTGTTGTTTACATCGAGGGTCGAACTTAACCCGCGCCGTGCTCGTGGTCTAAGTTTTCCGTGTCGTGCTGGGGGGAGGCGTTTTCATGTCCCCGTCTAACTCGGCTCCTGGGTCAAAGGTCACGTCACCAGAGGTCATCAAAGGTAAAATGTTGCCTATTTCAACATTTTCCCAAACACTCAACGCATAACTCGGGAACCAATAGAGCTACAGCGCCACAGAAAAGCGCATTCAACAGCTCTTTCAAAGGCCTTTCCGAGTGTTGTTGTTAGATTTGACCTCAGGTCAAATATAAATCGTGACGTTAGTAACAACGCACGATACGTTAGACGCTGGCAAAACCCAATACGGGCGAGGGTTAAATCATATGTGAACCAACCAGTTTTTGAGTGGTTAACCTGGCAAACATTGTAAATGTGTTCAATAGGATGTTTACAGTGAGGGTTGAACTTGAAAAAGACGGGCCATTGCACGATGGGACCGCGGCCGGAATTAGCGCGACATTGGTGGATTTGCCGCCCTTTCCCAAACTGAGTTAGACTGTTCCACGTAGTTCAGAAATGTCCAATTCCATGGACCACGAATCTGCAAATATTTTTCGTCCATGGTGTATACTGTATAGCGTCCGCGCCACATCAGCCCAAATACAAAGTTCTGTGACAAGCATCGTAGACCCGTTTTCGTACGGAGAAAAGTAGCAGCTAATGTAGGTAAGAAAAAATGTATATTAGACGGCTTTATCAATATTTTCGGGGTCTAACCTTTAGACCATGAAACAAGAAATGTTTAGACCATGGGCTTCACGATGGAAAGAAAAACTTATAACGGAATATATAAATACGCTTCAAATGTTAAGTTTGTAGGTGCTTTTAAAATTGTGAGTTAATTTTACTGTTATAAACATTCTAGAATGCCGATATGAAACGTCCCGCTAGGTCGCGCTCTTCTTTTATAAATATGGTCTATACCGATCAATTGCCTTTCAGAAAATGTATAATTTAGCTGCTTCAGCCTGCTACATCGAAAATGAGGGGCATTTTTGTTTTTATTTCAGGTCGCCGGCGCTGGCCGTGCGCGGTTACCACGAGCCGGCCGGAAGCTGAGAGTAACAGATCGACAGATCCTCCTAGGAGTCGAACAATGCTGCCAAGTGCCAACTATATTTAAGTTTTGTCCGGAAATATCCGTACCTGCTATCGGAGTGTCTGATACACTTTTCGTACCCTCACTTTATGTGTTATATAGTCCATCAGGCTATCAGATTCCCATCATGGTTTTGGTGGCTACATTATTTGCTTATGGGAATTTCCGGTTCCGTCATGACTTGACCTGGCAGGTGATGCCATCTTATCACATGACCGAACCGAGTCAAGGTAAACGCAGGTCAACTGATTAATTAATTAATTAATTAATTAATTAATTAAATGACTAATGATTATTTAATAAAATTTATCAGGAATTGCTTCGAAAGTACACCGACTACCATTTGTATGATTCTATCATCCCTTTCATGTGAAAAGCGGGCACGAAACACGAAAAAGTACCGATGTCGCGCTAATTCTCGCTCCGGTCCCATTGTGCATTGTAAGAAATAGTTTTAGTGTCTATGCTACATATTTTGCGACCGATACCCCCTGAACCCGATTACGACTCGCTGACGAAGTTTTGTAAATACAATTTGAAAGCTCCGACCCGAACGATTTCTTGTGGAGTGAAGCTCTCATTCACTTATTGCATTAACAAACTCCACAGTCCACATCATATCTTTATGTGTAACTAAGCTGTTGGTGGCGGTAAACACCCATTTGGATGTCGGCGGTGACGCCTAATGGTTGAGCTGACCTGACCCCACCTACCCAAAATGCACGGATACATCGTCTTTGATCAAAACTAGCACGAAATTCGAAATCAGAACCCCGAAAAAAAACTCACTAACAACCTCATTTTAAAAAGTTAAAATAGGCCACGATTTCCCTGAGTCATTTACCCGAATTGAAATGCCAACTAATGACCGGCGATCTTAAAATCGGGTATCATCGGCTTCCTTTAGTTACGGTAGGACGTTCATGTTTTCGCGAAGCTATAGTTCGGTTAGGGACTGAACGATTGGGGATCCAACAGAATCCCCCCCCCCCCCCAATTATATGCTAGCGGCTGAAAACGCGGTCACGGAAGGGGTTTCAAAGAGCATACAAACACATAAGTCCTTAATCCTCGCCCGTACTGGTGTTTTGCAAGCCGCGAACGTATATGGGGGGGGGGGGGGGTCCGTTGGAGACATAGTTTGTTACGAGAGACGCCCAGTTCGAGGTTTAAAGTCCATGCTATTAAAAGAATAATTTCAGGTATTTAAAATAATCTTGAACCGACCTGTGACCTCGAAACTCCACTTGAAGGTACTCATCAGAAGCCTCTCGTAGCGTTATTTTGTTTGCTGCCTAGCCCGTTTCGCTGCGCCTCGAGCTATGGGCTATGGGCTATGGGTTCTCGAACTATGGGCTGGGAAAGTTTACCCCCCCCCCCCTCCCACCCCCACCCAGCAAGTGGTGTGTGGCGAAATACTCCAGCAACTGCCGGGTTAACCCTCGCCCGTATTGGTGTTTTGCCAGCCTCGAACGTATAGGGGGGGGGGGGGGGCGGGTCCGTTGGACCGCCCCCCTTGCCGTTTGGCCCCTGATCGAGCTAGAGCTTCGAAAAAAAATTTAAGGTCCTAGGTCATTGGTTGACTTTCCAGGTCAGGTCAATGACCCACAAGTCTGGAAAATCGGGACCTGTTAGAACATCGTAAAGTGAGGTTGATGAGGGTTTTTCGGGGTGCTGATCACGAATATCGTGTTAGTTTTGATCACAGATGATGTCTTAATGCATTTAGGCCAGGTCAGGTCAGGTCAGGCCAATCAGTAGACGTCCTGTCAGGTATTCATAGTACGTGTCAGCCGTTACTGACAGCTTCGTAACATGTTACGAAGACACCAAAACAACTTCGTAAATGCTCAAATGGTTGCTTAATTCGAGATCAGCTCCAAAAAGTAGCCTAGAAACATGTAAAACTCGAAGAAGTGAACCTAGGTCATCAAAGGTCAATGATCTGACCTGACCTTCAGGTAACCTTGACACCCACCATAATGCCTGGGACCAACATCATATCACATGTTTGAACGCTTGAAACCGCAAAAATACTGCAAACGCGCGGCTAATACGAGCCGACATACGCCGAATCACGATTCCGGCCAAACATGGTCTCGAAAAATAGGCCACAGGTCAAGGTTCATTTGGGACAGGGTCATGAACTTTTAAGGGTAAGTGTACAATTGATTGACTCGACAGTACTGAAAGTTTCATCGCGATCAACCGCTTTTTACGCGAGTTATTCGCGAAAAACCATGGGGGTGGGGGTCCGTTCGACCCCCCCCCCCCCTATACGGGCGAGGGTTAAGTCAGTTAAATTTCTTTTGCAGTTTTCAATTTAATTTACGAATTATGTTCCGGCAGCTATGGTCAAAATGAGCAGAACGCTGCTCAATGTACCAAGCGCAACTTCGTTCTCCGGCCCGCAGAGAGCGGGGATGTAAGTCAGGCACGGCCTTGGCCGTTTCCTCTGGGGCCGCGCCGTCTGCCGAGGGAGGGGAGACCTTGCCCAGTCTGAGGGAGGGGGACGACGGCGCCACCGGGACGCCCCGTCGCTGCGAGACCGGCGCTCACTGTATAAACAAGCAAAAAACGCTGGCCGTGCAAAGCTTGGCTGTGCTTTGACAGAGGAGGCATCTAGTAGAATATTTCGTAACTACACAAACTTCTAACAAAGATGTCGCTTGAAGCGCAGTTGAGATTGTAGGTTTTGATCCAACTGAAAATTGACATCTCAAGGACGACGAAATGATGTTAATTTATATGAAATGGTTTTGTATGATGCGTACTTTGATTAATGCCATTAGTTTTCCACTGCCTTTTTGTGTGAAACGATTTTGTATCTTGCGATTTTGTATGACACGATTTTGTATGCTGCGCTTTTGTATGTTTTGACTGTCCCCTACCCGGCCTGTTTTGTAGGTTTTGCGCGTTGTATGTTACGATTTTGTATGTTTTGATGATTGTATGATAAGATTTTGTATGCTTTGATATGGAGCCATTTTTATTCCCATTGTTAAAATGCATCAAAACATTCTTTTTGCCATGAGTAATGGTAACTTTTTGTCGGGGTAAGGCTTAGGCCACTCAATCCAATTAGGTGATGTCTCAAGTCACATCCACTAAATGTTCTGATAATGACCTATGCTGATCCTAACTAGTGCTTAGAAAAATGCTAAGTTGCGTTTCAGTCTTGGTTGGTGTTTGAACATTTTTATACGCAGTGCTTTTTTTTCTGAACAAGTGCCATGCTAATCACGAGCGAATTCGAGGGGCAGTCGCCAAACATGTCTTCCTCTTCAATAGTAACGGGATAATCGAATTAATGCAAAGCCAAAGGGCATGAATTTTTCGTTGTCCGCGAAATCTGTCAATTTCAATGCGTAGACTAGGTTCATTTAAGTGTTATCGTTTTTTTTGCACAATATTAAATTGTCAATGTCTTTCAAGTGAAATAGCGTAATACTGGTTTCACAGTGCCGCTGCCGGTGTCGACGCTGGCAGCCATGGCCGGCGCCGAGCTGACGAGTTCCAGCCTGGAAGCTCAGCGCGAGGGCCGGCATTTGTTGCCGGCTTCGTGGCATACAAGTGTCACCACATCGACGCCACCCTCGGTAGTCGGGTCTCCTGACTTCTCGGGCGCCGCCGGAGACACTGAACACCCTGTCGAACAGTTGAATTGTGACGTTCAGCCGAGGCCAGCTGCTTGTTCCGTCACAAGCCTGGATGGCCGCTGTGGAGGAGTTCGAGCGGAACTTCTGCCTGCTGATGGGGGCAACTGCAGATCAGGGGCCGCGAGTCATACAGCGTCTCATGTTGCTCATCGCCGTCAAGCAGCCTCAGCTCGGCACCCGCGTGTCCAGGAAGTTGGCGAGCACCCGTCTCCACCTCCCCCTTCGGTCTCTTAGCCTGACTGGACGAGGTCTGGCAGCTGAAAAGAGCCAATAGAAAAGTTGGCCATCATACAAGGAGCTCTAGGTGAGCTGCTGGTAAACCGGCTCGTGTAACGACTGTGCGACTCTGTGTGGTGCGGCTGGCTCTGTGTGGGTGCTGTGCGACTCGGCATGGTACCTCCGGCTGTGTGTAATGGCTTTGCGACTCGGTGTGGTACGGCCGGCTCTGTTGGTGCTGTGCAACTCGGCATGGTGCCTCCGGCTGTGTGTAACGGCTATGCGATTCGGTGTGGTGCGGCCGGCTCTGTTGGTGCTGTGCAACTCGGCGTGGTGCCTCCGGCTGTGTGTACCGGCTGTGCGACTCGATGTGGCACGGCCAGATCTGTTGGTGCTGTGCAACTCGGCGTGGTGCCTCCGGCTGTGTGTAACGGCTGTGCGACTCGGTGTGGCACGGCCAAATCTGTTGGTGCTGTGTGACTCGGCATGGTGCCTCCGGCCAGCCCTCACCGGACACGATTTGGTAGCCGAGGTCTGTGACGTCAGCCGGGCGTGAAGTTTTCCCTTCACCATAGGCTTTACACACAAACTTGCCGAAGTTCATGCCAGGATAGCCCGGCCTGAAAGTGCAAAAATGATTAAATTTTGCCCTCATTAGATTCAGTGCTTCATTTTATAACTAAAAACGTCCGTTATTAGGCCTCAATGAAGGTACAAAGTACTCAAAATCGAAATTAAAGAAGATGCTGTCCGAGCACAATCTGGTAACATCACGTGACTTCTTTTCAGCAGATTATTCATAATTTCAGGATATATTCACAAGATTGCTGCCTAAAACATCATAAATAATACATTTGCAGCATTTATTACTTCCGTTTAAGTCATAACCTTGTAAAATGCAAAGTGTATCATGGTAGTCACGTGACCAAAGGTATAACAGGGGGTTGGGACAAACACTCAAAGGATTTCGAGTTTATTAATTAAATATATAATTTTCATGGTGGAATTGAAAGATTGTATTTTTTCCTAATAGCATACAAATTTTTGTATGTAAAATATTTTCCTTACGGGTGAAATTCTCCATATAAGAAATATCAGTGACGTCACCAGGGCTTTACTCAAAACATCGGATCTACCTGTTTATTATAGGTATCTTGCCTCCGGCTGTGTGTAACAGCTGTGCGACTCACTGTGCGACTTGGCATTGGGTAACGGCTGTGCGTCTCGATATTGTACCACCAGCTGTGAGTAACGGCCACCGGTAAGTGAAACTTATAATATTTAGTGAAAATGTTTATTCGATTTTTTTTTTCAGCAATGCAACTTAAGTGCATCCGTCCTGAGCGCCCTAGCAGGGCAGCGGAGCCGATGTAATTTCGGTGACTACTGACTCCTGACTCCTAGTTCCAAAAACTAATTCCGAATCCTACTCCGGGCAGAACTGTCTATTCTGACCGATTTCGACTCAGACTTCGCAGCCCTGCAGCTCCGCAGTCTGCGGAACCGATGAATTTTTGGTGACTTCGACTCTGACTCCGGCTCCGGCTTCCAAAAACGACTCCGACCCCGACTCCGGCTCCAGTTCGACTCCGACCAAAGTCCGGTCCCGACTCCATAACCCTGCGCCCTGGGACCCATACAAGCCTCGCTGGTTTCGGCCCGCTTTTCCTGGACGTGACCTTATATCACCATTACTCACTTTAAAATGCGACATATTTTCAATTTCTAGTGCGAAAAGTGCTCGCGATAGCTTTTTGGGCGTTATAACACGAAAAAAATGCCACCGGAAAGTCCGTAGTAATGCTCTATACATAGGCCGGCCGCGGCGGGAGCACCCCAGTGACGTCATCCGGGGCCGGTAGGGGGAACGTAAAAAATTCCCTAATGAACCTACCTGGTATATAGGGCCTTGCGGAAAAGGGAACAACTATTTTATAACTATGTCTGTCGCAGAGCAGCTCAAGCGAATTCTTAGGAAGTGTGCAGCTTTTTTTGTGCTTCACTAGCAGTCGTGAAGGCATCATCAGAGATATATGTGATGGGGTAAGGAACAAGGCACTCAGGGCAAAAACGGGTCCCTCACACATAATCTCGCTGCTGTTCAGTACTGACGGAAGCAGGGTATATTAAGTGGACGAAGTAGCACGAACTTTGGAAGGAATTTCTAGTATAACTACTAGAAAACTTACTATATGTGGTAGGGACTAGCAAAATGTTAGTTCAAACTAGAATATGGTAGCGCTTACGGTTGGCAGTGGTGACGCGCACCTGACATTCATTTCTTAAATCTCTTCAATAACAGGTTTTAGAGGCCGATTAGTGGGCAGATACATTCAAATTAGCTATTAAAGGGACAGTATCACCATTTCGATGAAATTTGACATTGCATAGGCCCCACCTTTCTGGTCCGGGAACTGAAGACCGATCCTCGAAGCTCCACACCGTTATCCCGCTATCGCCGCTCAAAGTACGAAAGGTGTACTACACTTTGAATCGTGCTTCACTATCTTCACTGTTTAAATGTTTGCGCCGTTTTGAATTGACCGCCAGTAATAAAACTTTTACCCTGGTCATTTCATCAAATTTTATGAAGCCAAAACGTTTTTCGCACTTATTCATCACCGTTAAATTCATTAAATAGTCGTAGGCAATTTCCGCTGTTTCCTTCGGATTCTAGCGGCTCAACAAAGGAATTCCTCCAGCTTGAATCACAATCTCCCTCCAATGTATGACGTATATGTATGACGTCATCTGATCAGTCTCGATCTCAACGACAACTCAATCAGAAGAGCGGCCGCGTAAGCGTAACGTCAATAATGTATTATCTGCGCCAGTTCTGTAGTAATTTCGCAGGCTTCCAAAGTGGCGGCCATGCTAGTAGTGGTGGTTCGCTCATGAAAATGACTCGCTCATGAAAAAATATTTTTCACCGAGTTCGGTCCTCAAACTATGTTTTTCTGATTCAGAAAAATAAGAAATGCTAGTAAAAAAAACATCAGCTCCATACATTGATTTTTTTTTTCGATGATACTGTCCCTTTAATGATTGATTACACACACATTCAAGAATCTACATAATTCAATTCAAGCCAAAATCACACGGCGCTCCCAGGATTCGAACTCACGACCCTCGGATCCATAGTCCGATACGCTACCGACTGCGCTACAGAGGACAGCGCACCGGCGCTCGGAGAGGCGCGTCGCGGGTGCTGGCGTGCAGAGAAATCTTTACCCTGTACGCCGTACAAGATCGGCTGGGTTTCATGAAAAATCAAAAATGGCAGAGGAATTGTCGAAAGAAAATTCATCGATCTATCATTTAAGACTAAGAACCATTAATTTCTTCTAATGTTGACAGAGATATCGCCCGCCGAAAGCAGGCGATTTAAATTGTAAGCCCTATGGGCTGGTAGGAAATGTACGCCGTGGAGCGGCAGTGTTACCAACTAACTTCGGCGGGGGTTGGACGGAAGTCCCGTTTTCAAATCGAATGGTAAGTCCATATGGCCCATTACAGCCTTTGTCAACGAAATTGAACCTAAGATGAGGTATAGGCTCCCAATTTTGGCTGGCATTTGGTGCGGTATTGGACATGTACCAATGACGATGCTTTTCCGAGCATTTGTTTTTTTTTCCGGATCTAATACGAAATTCCAGTCTCCAACGAGAATAACAGGACATATTTGTGAAGCATTGAATACTCTCTCACACAAGTCTTCAAAAACATCGGACAATCACTATTTGGCCTATATATCACAACAAACTTGCTTCGGAAGTATCCATCACATTCTACATCCATTATCACATAATTACCGTGATCATCCACCTCCCAACTATGAACTAATACAGGTGCCCCAGTTCGAACTAAGACAGTCACTCCTCTAGCGTTAGTTGTTCCGCAACTCATATATATTTCTCCTCCCCACTCCGATCGGACCATTGACTCCATTTCAGTCGTCAGATGTGTGTCCACTAACCCATACACAGCACAGTCGAGGCGTCTGAGGTAATTGAAGACATCCCTTCTCTTTTCGGTCTGACGTATACCCCGTACATTAACACAACAGAAAGACAAGCTCATTTTCGACATGTAACAGTAGCTCTAAACTCACACCGAGCACAACCACCCCCACCCAAGGTCTCCGCTCGGACATCGGAGAGCTCACGCTGCTGAGCCAAGTCCATGGTCCCCAGCCCGACTTTGAATGCTGAGCCACCACTAGAAATATTCCCTGATATCTCTCGACTGCCCATCCCCCCTACGAGTTCCCCTACCCCTTCCCTGCATAGCAGACCCTGCGACCCTACCCCCACGCGGACAATCCGAGGGAGAACCACCAGGTCTCTCTACCCATCGTGCCTTAGACTCCCCGCCTTGGGAGGATTCACGCCGCAAAACATTCGATATAGCCGACGGAGAGCCAGGTCGGAAAACAAGAGAGGCGTCTTCACTCATAGAACATGCCCCTCCCTCAGCGCCACCTACCTTGCGACCCTCATCGCCACCTACCGCGCGACCCTTCTCCGGCTCCCCACGGTCCCCGGCAGGTGGCAGCACCGAGCCCGCCGAACCGACCCACCTCAGACCTGTGGCCGACGGTAGATCTGACCCAGACGTCACTCGCAGTGGCGCACCCAGGCCCGCCACCCGAGAGGGGCCGACCAGGGAGTCACTCGGAGAAGGCGAAAGTCCAGCTGAAACGATCTCCGGAGACTCAAGCGGCGCCGCCAGCTGCACCCAACGCACAGCCTCCCGCGCGCAGTCTAGTAACGGCGACGACGAGACGCGCCCACGAGCCGCAGTCCCGGAGCGATTTTGCGCGTCCTGCCGCTGGTGCTGAGCCTCCTGACGGCCGCCGCCGCTCCTCCTCAGAGAGTCGGAAGGGGAACGGTCACGTGAACGGGGGTCGCGACCGGGGGTCGTCACTCCCTCTCGACCGCCCCGCGCCGAGGGCGCAGGCGCATCACGTCGGAGAGCTCCTTCCTCTATCTCGCTCCTCGCTCTCTCTTCCCCCGGCTGGGCTCGCCTCTGCACGGGGCTCTGTGGTGCACTCGACCCAGCCAGCTGACGCAACGCCTCCGGGTCAGCGATCCGCAGTGGCGGTGAGTCACGTGACCTGCAGATCATTATGTTCCCGGCTCTTGTGAAAACCGAGTAGATCTGTCGTTCCTTTTTCATTCGAATAAGGTCCCTGAACATCTCCTACCTCCGGGGGGTTAGCGATTCCGTGATGTAGAGGCCGGAACCTCGAAGTTTGGCCTTAGCTCTAAATAGCGCATCTCTATTAGAGCCGGGCGCAGCTGAGCTAAATTCAATCACGATCTTTCCATTTCGAAGTCTGGTGATATCTTGGATCTGTGTGCGGTCTAGATCCATCTTGAGGAACTCACGCGCAGCTGAACGAATCAGATCCACCGCTTCGTCACGGTTGGTATGCGCCTGGAGAGCGGACCCGGAGAATATCAAAAACACCAACCTGCTATTCTGGAGCCGG